TCCTGGCACACTTGGCGCAACTTACATTACTGGACTGCAAACAGTACACAATAAGGCCTAATGCTGCAGGGTGTGATATCTTCCTTCTCAAAGAATACAGATCAGATCGGGGCTTTGGTATGGGGAACTTGTTTCACCCAAAAACCAGCTTCTGTGTAACAATCAATAACTACTCCTTTGCACAGCTGTTTGGGGCTCAGTTCGTCCAGGGAGGAACTGTTGTTCCACCCCGCTGTGACAGAACCTGAATTGCACCTTGGAGTGACCCTTTCTTTGATCATCCCATGAAACACAGAGCACCTGATACCAAAATTTTGTGCAAGGCTGTGGCAGCATTGACCATCATCACTCAAAATGAAACCAAAACAAATAGCCATCGATTTTATGGAAAGAAAATATTGATCCAAACTGTAGCGGGGATGAACCTAGAAAGTACTACGCAGAGTGAAAGAAGTCAGACACAAAACATTACATATCACTCCAGTGACAGGAAGTGTCCAGAACAGGCAAATCCATAGGTCCAGAGAGTAGATGACATGTTATTAGGATGAGGAAGAGAAATGACACATAACAGGTAATAAAGAATAAACACAGGCTATTATTTCAGAGTGATGAAACAAGATCTCAGTGAATGATGCACAATGCCGTCCATGCATTAGGGAAAAAATACTTTAAAATGGGTCAGTTGGGCTGGAGGGCTAGCTCAGTGGTAGAGAGCTAGCCCAACATGCCTGTGACTCCAAGTTTGATCCCTGACACTGCAAGATACATCAAGCAAAATTTATGGTGTAAAAAATCACCTTATAAAGATTCTTTTGGAGACAGCTCTGGCTGTCCTGGAACTATGTAGACCAGGCTGGCCTCAAACTCACAGAGATCTGCCCACCTCTGCCTGTGCTGGGATTAAAGGGGTGTGCCATACCTGATAAGAATTTTGTTCTTGCAGAGGACCGAAGATCTAAGTTCAATCTCCAGAGTGGCTCACAACTAGCTGTAACTCTAGCTCCGAGGGGTCTGATGTCTCTGGCCTCTGTGGACACCTACAATCGCATGCACAGATGCACGCGCGCACACACACACACAATACACACACACACACACACAGAGAGTCAAACTAAGCTTTAAAAATGTGTGTGTGTGTCCTTCCATGTGCATACATGGAGACAGAAGAGGATACTGAAGTGTTCTCTTGTCCTTTAGCCTCTGCTTACTCCTTTGAGACAGGATCTCTCCCTGAACCTAGGTCTCACTTGTAGGCAGACTTTTCTGTCCCACCAGCTGCTCCTCAAATAACCACAGAGACTGGATATTAATTATAAACGCTTGGCCGATAGCTTAGGCTTGTCTCCAGCCAGCTCTTACAACTTAACCCATTTCTATTAATCTATGTGTTGCCCTGAGGCTTGTTACCTCATCTGTAAACTTCCCGTGTTGCTTCTTTTGTGTCTGGCTCAAGACTCCTCAGGCTGCACCCTTCTTCTTCCCAGCATTCTCTTGGCCCTGAAATTCCTGCCTAGCTGTCAGCCAATCAGCATTTTAAGAATGACTGTACAGAAGGATCATCCCACAGCATTCGCTTTTCTGCCGGTGAGATGGGATGCCAGCAAGCCTCCTTAAGCCGCCGTTTCTGTCCTCCTCAGAGCCGGGGTTGCAAGCATGCAGGATGTCTATCTTGTCATATGGATACTGAGGTTTAAACTCTGGTCCCCATTATTGCGCAGCAACTGTTCTTAAACAATAAACCATCTCTTCAGTCCCAGGGAGTGGGGGGAGCTCTTTGAATGCACGCAAAGAAAAACAAGTAAATACACCGGTGGTCAAGAAGAAAGAGAAAACAAGATACAGAAACAGCCTTCATGGACGCCAGCGTGCCCTTCCTTTAGCCCAGTGATCTTGTGCCGAAGAATTTTCCTGCAGAGGCTTACACAGGTGTTTGGGTAGGCAAGGGTCTGGGAATGTGGCTTCAATGAGGAATCAGCCAGAAGCCCCCATCGCCACAACCTGAAATACTGATGCAGCCCATAAAAGAACCCATGATCCTCTATCAGGGCTGATGGTGCCCCTCCTTGCAGGGACTGTGACACGCCTACAGGCCTCTCTTTGCTGAGGCTATTGTTTTTGTGGGTGGAGGCCAGCACGGACTCAAGCTCTGTTTAGTTGGTTCCGTCTTTATGTCCTACGAGCAAACTGTCAGGGTTTTGTTTTTGTCTTTTACATATCATTACTGTGACAAAATACTGAGATAAACAACTGAGGAAAGATTTCTTTCGGCTTCCGAATTTAGAGGCCACACCCACGTTTGTGTGACACCACCTCCGTGGGACTGTGTGGAGGCAAAGCATTGGCCACATCAATCAAGTGGAGGGGCATTGGCCACAACAAAATGTGCACCTCCGGGCAGTCAGGGAGCCTAGATGAAAGGTGTGGCCCAGGAGAGACCCTCCGCTCCCCAGGGATCCACTTCCTCCTACTAGGCCTAACCTCCTAGTTAGCATTCTTAAGACCCAATAAGCTCTCGACAGCACCACCAGCTGAGAAACTTCATATCCAAAGCCAACAAACTTGTGTTTTATCGAGCTAATAGTTGGGTTTTTCCCCTGTACTGTTTATCAGATAAGAAACTGTTGGCCTCAGCCTCACTGAAGAGGCTTTTGGGGTTTGGTGGTTCCACACCACTGGACCTTTTAGGATCACCAGGACTCCATACCGCATGGGGATGCAGAAGCTGCTATGAGGCCGCTTACCCAACTACTTGCCTCCACATCTCCTTCCTCAGTCATTAAAAACCTTTTCCCCGAAGTACTATGTACCTTAGCTTAAACAACAGAACTAACTGGAGGCATAGCTCCAGTTGGTAGGGTGCTCGTCCGGCACGCACAAAGCCCCAAGGTTCACTCCCCAGTATCACTCAGGTGTGGTGGTGCATTCCCAGGATCCCAGTACTTGGGAGGGGGTCATAAGTTCAAGGTCATTCTCAACTAGGGAGTTGGACCTTGTCTCTAAGTAAATATAAAGACAGGAATGATAATAAACAGCTTCCAGCAGCAGAACAGAGTATGAGAAAACAATCTTGAAGTTATCGCTCATATGAGCATGCTGTGTGGGGATGTGTGGGTACCACCGTGGGTGCATAGAGGTCAGAGGGCAACTTCCAGAAGTTCGTTCTTCCCTTCCACACTTACTTGGCTTCCAGGGATGGAGCTCAGGTTGCAGGCTTTCACAGTAAGCTCCCATTGCTAAAGACACCTTGCTGCCCTATCTGAGCTTAATTGTGCGTGTGTGTTTGTGTGTGCGCCTGCATGTGTGTGGCTGCACAAGCTGCCCAATTTTGGTCCCCAAAAGACACTGTCCTTATTTTAAACTCTATGCTAACTAGCCTTCCCTTGGCTGCAGGAGGGGTCAGGAGAGCACTGTCTGCTTTCAAAGGCTGATTGGTATGAGCATCCCTGAAAACCCTGTGTGGAGCCAGTTGGTGATGGAGCACACTTTTAATCCCAGCACTCAGGAGGCAGAGGCAGACGGATCTCTGAGTTTGAGGCCAGTTTGGTCTACAGAATGAGTTCCAGGACAACACAGAGAAACCCCGTCTCAGGAAAAAGAAAAAGACCAGCATGGAAAAAAGGCAGCCACTATCTGTAATTTAACAAAATGCATGTGAAGACCAATAAAAGAACGAGCCGGGAGTGTAGCTCAGTGGTAAAGCCTGCATATGGAGATCAAGGGGTGACATTGAGGAGTGGTTTTCTCCTTCCATTCTTAACTAGGTTGAGGAAATTGAACTCAGGTTGTCAGGCTTGGTGGCTCTTTTACCTACTGACCCATCTTACCTGTTCTTAGTACACGTTTCTGTTTTTGTTTTTTTGAGACAGGGTTTCTCTGTTGCTTTGGAGCCTGTCCTTGAACTAACTCTTGTAGATCAGGCTGGCCTCAAACTCACAGAGATCCTCCTGCCTCCCGAGTGCTGAGATTAAAGGTGTGTGCCAGCACCGCCCAGCCTTAGTACACTTTTAAATGAAAAAAGAAATTATAAGGACACCCCCCCCCAAACAATGGTTAGGGAAAAAATGTCAGGAAATAAAAGCTATAAAGGGGAATCTAGCTCTCTGGCTGTGGAAAATACAGTACAGTCGTCTATAATCAGTGACATCTTAGCATGAGTTAGAGACGATGAGATACAGGGAAACGGTACAGTGAACGCGATCTCACATCACCAGGGTGACTCCGCATGCACACATGGGCACCGAGGACAAGCTTGCAGAGCACGTACGGGGATGAGTGGAGGCTTTCCCTCAGTGTGCCAGCTGCAGCCCCTGTCTCCCGAGCCTATTTCAACAGGTGGGGTGATCCAGGATCCCTGTTTCTGGCTCACCACACCCTGGAAGCCCAGCTGGCCAAAGTACAATTCCATACCCATGCTCAGGTCAGGCCAGGCAGACCTACTTCCTCCTGTGGGCCACTCCTACCTTCTCCATTCCTGGCAGGAAGACATCATCAGCATGGTGGGGGAGGGGGCAGCCATGCCACCCAAGTCTATCGCCAGCCTGTGCCTAGCTGGTCACATAGTCGACTGTCAGTAAGCATTTCATCTCCTTGGACCTCAGTTTCTTCTTTTGCAAACTGAAGCAATTTGGGTAAATCAGTGATTCTCAACCATAGCTGTACATTACAACCAGGTGCCTGCAGGGCACCCCAGATCACCTATCTCGGACTTCTTGTAGGGTGGCCAACTAGGCAGCCAATTTCCTGCAGGAGGTGTGCATCTCATCTAAGCCCTCTGGGCTCCTCCGGTGCTTGGAGGCTCACTGGATGGACTGTCCATTTGCAGTCTTCTGTCACAGAATGGTTAACACCAGTCACCCATCCATTCGGCCTCAGTCCATGCTCCTCCTACTTGACAGCCTGCTCTTGAGAGCTCGGGACAGCAGCCTCACTGGGGACTTTGTCCAGCCCCACCCACCCTTCAGCTAGCCCTGCCCCAGCACACCTCTTGCCCTTTGATGCTTACAACCAAGAGATCACATTCACAAGCCAGCCTGCACAGGTATGGCCAGGGGCTTCCAGCTTCTTTCCAGGCATGCATAGCAACCAAGGGAGGAGCTTGGAGAGGACTGTCCAATACCAGAAACGGAGGGCTTGATATTTCTATCCCTGATACGGATCCACAAATATTTTCCAAGGAAAGCCTGACTCTGGTGGAGGGTTCTGGGGTGCCTGGTTGGTCCCTGGTACTCAGACTAGAGCAAAGGGCTCCATTCCCACCCAAGTGTTAATCCCCTGCATTGTAACCAGAGGTCACAGCCTAGGAAGGGAGATGCTTTGAACTTCAGTCTCTGCCTTCACTTGCAGCATGCTAGATGAGTCACGTGGCAACCTGAGCCTGTGTACTTGGCAATAAACACGACCTTGTCCATTTTACAGGGCCAGTGGATTATATACTATCTTACTACACATACTTATGTTGAGACACTAGGAAACACATTTGGTTGGGAGCTTATACTAACTTGAGAGGGGCCAATCATCTGTCATGGAGGAGCCTGAACAGGACATCAGGGAGAAGCTGGCAGGTGAGTGAGTCCTGTTTTTGACAGTCCTCAAAGGAAATAATGGTAGAGGGCGGTGTGCAGAAGGTGGTGGCTAGTGCCACAGGCAATGGGCCAGTCGTGAGCAGGGCAACTGGACCCAGGGTTCTCTCCCTCCACCAGCAGAAGCAATATCTGGTGCTAATCGGTGCTAGAAGGGCCTTCTGAGCATTTCTCTTTCTTCTAGCTACCCCGTGGGGTAGGGCTTACTAGCTTCGTTTTCCTGAAAATGCAGGCCCCAATTTGTCCCCTCCCAATTAGATTTGGGAAAGTTCCTGAGAGTTATCAGAGACACACAAACCTACAAGCGGTGTCTGAGATGTGCCTCAGCCTCTTGGGCATAGGGTTGAGTCACCTCTATGGCTCAGGTTGGAAGGACAAAAACCTCCTTAACCCCTTTGTGCTGAGGAAAGGGACATTCATTAATGCCGTGAGGGGAGGGGGCTGTGCTGACCAGGACTGTCTCCTTGCTGGGAGTAATATTAACAATGCTGTACAAGTAGGGCTTGCATTGGAGACCCAAGGCTTAGTGTTCTGGGCTGTTGGCCTGAAAGTACTCATTCTAGCTCTCATGCTGTTAGGTCCTGTGCTCTGCCCTTACCTGGGCACCACTGCAATTTCCCCTTATTACCATCTGTCTTTTCTAGGCTTTTGTACAGACCCATTCATGTTTTTGGAGTTTCATTGTTGCTCTGTGGTGTTGGGGGACTAAACCAATGGCCTCAGGCATGACGGGCAAGTGCTGTACCACTGAGCAATTTCCTCTGGTAGCCCTGGCTGTCCTGGAACTCAACTCACTGTGTAGACCAGCCTGGCCTCAAACTCAGAGATCGACCTGCCTCTACCCCCCAGATTAAAGGTGTGGACCACCACCACCCAATTCCTTCAAGTATTTTTTGTTTTGAGACAGGGTTTCTCTGTGTACCCTGAGATCAGGTTGGCGTCAAACTCAAGAGATCCACTGTCTCTAAGGAAGATTTTTAATGATTCTCTTTCTGTATGTAGCTATGCTAGAGACCTGGAAACACAAACGTTGCATAGCAAAACCAGCAGCAGAAACTCAAGGGCAGGGTTTATAAGCATTTCTTTCCCAGATCAGGCTCCACCTTAAAACACAGAATTGGCTTCCTTTCAGGATTTGGCTGGTAGTTAAGAAAAGTTACTCAAGAGCAAAACTAGGGGCTATGGGATAGTCACAAAATCTTAAGACCTGAGCCCAATCCTCAAAGCCCACTTAAAGGGGTGCTCTGACCTTTTACACATTCACTGTGGCATGCCTTACCTGGAAATAAAAAGGCTTTTGTTGTTAAGATTAAATTTGATTAGTCCTTTTCCTGGCCTTCCTGTAAAAGGGAAGAATAGACTCGGGTGATGAGAGGCAGGAAACGGAGGCTGGGGACTACCCCTTCTCAGCCCATCTCTTTCCTTAACTCTCCCCCAGGTGAAAATGAACAAGGCATGAATACGAATCCACACTTGTCAACTGATCCATGTAATGGCAAAACTGACACCACCATGGGTCAAGGTAAGGACCATGTAGGCCTGTTCTCGTCATGTGATTTACCCAGTGTAGTTCTAGTTCACACTGTTCTTGATAGTAAGTTGACAAGATTGACACTCTAGGCCATAGTCCTCGAAAATACTGACTCATCCTAGCTAAGAGATGCCAGAAGAATCACACCCATTGCCCAGCACTTTGTCCAGACTTCCTAGTAACTTCTCAAATGGTCAACTAAGTACCATGACTGCTACACGCTGCTAATGCATTAACATACCCATTGCATATTTTACTTTTATATATGTAGGGGTGTATCTGTGAACGACATGTGTTCTTGGTGCCTTCAGAGGCCAGGAGTGGGCCCTGGATCCCCTGGGACTGGAATTACAGATGGTTGTTAATTCCATATGGGTGCTGGGAATTAAACCCAGGTCCTCTGGTAGAACAGCCTCTTAACTACTGAGGCATCTCTCCAGCCCTCCACTGCATACATAAATCTCTTACTACAGGCTCAAAGTATAGTTCAGGATAGAGTGCTTACTCTACATATATTTAACGCTCTGGATTTGATCCTCAACTCCAAGAAAGGAAAAAGCTAAGTGTGAGGTGCATGCCTATAATTTCTAACACTTGGACAGCTGAGGTAGGAGAACTTGGAGTTTAGGGACTGTCTGAGCTATACTGAGACCCACTCCCAAAGATAAATAGGAGCTAGAGAGAGCATAGTAAGCTGAGTGCTTGCTGTTCTAGGGGCCCAGTTTTGTTATCATCTGGCAGCTCACAACTGCCAATAACTCCAGCTCAGGAGGATCTGACAGTCTTTGTGGCCACCGGCACCTGTACACACATGGCAGACACTTAAGTCTTTTTCCAAAAATTAAACAAAATACCCCTTAAGTGACTGCTATCATGCTCCAAGCTTTCTGTCTTGGACCTGACACTGGCACACAACTTCACCCGGCCCAGCACTCTTAGTCTTAACTTATAAAGTATCTACAAAAGCTCCAAGTCTACTTATCTTTCGGTTTTTAGGATCATCTTTGCTGTGATAACTGATGTCAACAATCTTTAAAATGGGTATTTTATCTAAAAACCTATGTTTGAATTTATGGGTGATCAGCGCTGGTGCTTAAAGTAAGAATTCAGAACTCCAAAGAAAATGACTTCATTGAAATTGAACTGCACACACAAGAGCTGAGTTACCAGAACCTACTTCAAGTGAGCTGCTGTGAACTGGGGATCCACCCAGAGCAAGTGGAGAAGATAAGGAAGCTGCCAAACACGCTGCTCAGAAAGGTAGGCCACACATCGCCCAGTACACAACTGTGGGCGAACAATGCTCCACAAAGCCAATCCTTTAGTTTCTAAGTACCAAGTTCATGGTGGAAACTGCCCAAAGGACCACAATGCAGCTGGGCCACTGACTTCCATTGTTTCCACAAACCTAGTTCAGACATTTCTTAAAATACCCGATAAGTGACACCCTAATTTAAGAAATTTATATTTAGCTCTGTCAATCTCTGCAACCCTGATTGGCCAATAAAATCAGCATTGTCCTCAGACTGGAACGTGGCATGCCCTTACCACTTGGGGAAGGTCCATCTTTGCAATCCCCAGACATGTTTCTTTGAATTTTTTTCACAGGCTGAAAATGTATACTTCAAGTTTTAATAGACTTCATTTCTTAGGAACCTTTTTTCACTAGGCGATAATGGCACATGCCTTTAATCCCAGGACTCAGGAGGCAGAGGCAGGAGGATCTGAGTTCAAGGACAGCTTGGTCTATAAGAGCTAGTTCCACCACAGGCTCCAAAGCAACAGAGAAACACACACACACACACACACACACACACACAGGGAAAAAAAAAATCTTTTTCCAGCTGGGTGTGGTGGCACACACCTTTAATCCCAGCACTTAGGAGGCAGAGGCAGGGAGATCTCTGAGTTTGAGGCCAGCCTGTGCCACACAGATAAACCCTGTCTTGAAAACCAAGCCAACAAATAGGAATCTTCCCCCCGCCCCCACAGTTGAATGTAGTGGTGCACACCTTTAATCCCAGCACTTGGGAGTCAGAAGCAAGACAATCTCTGAGGCCAGCCTAGTCTTCATTGAGTTCCAGGTCCAAAAACAACAAAAATCCCTGCCTCCCACCCCACGCCTCTGGCAACTTTATTGATGTATTCTTTGTAAACTATCATTGTCACAAGATAATCTTACTTTTCAGATAGCGTTAACATGAAAAATAAATTTGTACTAGGCTTGAGGGCACACACCTTGATACCTCTCAACATTTGGGGAAGCAGAGGCAAATGGATCCGAGTTCTAGACCAGCCAGGACTACAGAGAGAACTTGTCTCAAAAATAAAGTTTTAAAAATAAACCAACTGCTGATGATTCACCACGGAGACAAAGGTCAACCTGAAATGGCCAACGGTAAGCCTTATTCCACTGACGTTACAGTGTTCTGGAATCACTAAGCCTTTCCCCAACTTTTAGGACAAAGACATTCAAAGACTCCAAGACTTTCAGGAGATAGAGCTCTTGGTGAAGAGCGGGAAGTATGAGCGCACCCAGCACCCGACGTCACCTCTTACAGAGAGGCCCTGCTACAACAGCGAAGCTGCAACACTGACTTACTAGTTCCAGAAGAACGGGGTCTGCAGTCACCGTCAACCATGAGGCCTAGACCCACGTGACAATTAGCTAACCACACCTGAACTTTGGAAAATTTCCTCGCTTTCAAGCTCTCTGAGCAGTAGCCAAGTGTATTTTGAAGTGCTGCACCCCAATACTGACACTCAAGTACGGAGCTGCACATACACCCAGTCCCACTTACCTATGAAGCGGAATGACTTAGGATCTGAGTAAACAATCGACTTAAGGCTAAGACAACTTGTGAAAACAGCTTACGTCACTGCAGCTGGTGGCGGCTTCACTAGGTTACCGAAGTACAAGGTTGGTGTTCACATCCCTAGCTGGTCCTCTTGGTGTGTTTTAGATGGCTGTCACTTTATAAGCACGTATCTGTAACCTGCCCACTTACCCATCTGTCTTTACGGAGCCATTTCTCCTCAAATATCAAGTCACCTCTGATCCTTGAGTTTAATTAAAACACCAGGGCTCCTTGTGGACCAACACATTCTATTTGTATTCTGAGCTCAGAGAGTTCACTGCTTCCTTATTACCGGCTTCCCAGCAGCTGAGATTTGAAGTAAAGGAAAAGACACAGAGCAGGCATTACCAACAGTCGGAGGAAAATGGCTTATATGGTATGATTCATTTCACACTCCTGCACCTGCAATGTGCCCAATATCCAGGTCTCTAATGAAAGCGGCACTGTGAGAATTTGTGCGCTTGAGGTGTCCAACTCCAGGATTCCAGTAACAGTGATTGTGACTGGACAGGATGGATCCACAAATGGTAACTCCCCTTTCACTTTCAATAATAAGGAAAATTTAGGCAGGGGCTTGAGGCTAGTTAGGTTAATAGCTAGAAACACTATCTGTACAACACTGAGAACTGTTTTTAAAATAAATTTGTTTAAAAAAAAGTTTGATACACAACAAATTACTTAGGAGGGTAAGACCATCCCAATGACAGAACCTATGTAGGTGCTATCCAGTGGCTACAGTAACTAAACCACAAAGCTAATGAGCAAATTCTTACCTGCTCCAAATTAATAAGCACACTTCACTATAAAACAAAATAAGGTGGGGGGCACATATGGAGCTCTAGTAGAATGTTTTGGACCTCCTGTGTAGCTGAGAAATAACCCCGAACCTCCCATGTGCTGGGATTACAGATTCAAAGACCCCTTTAAGTTCTAAATCAAAACCTGAGAGCTTTAAGAAGTGTACTAAGCTTTACTTCGTATCTTGAATGAAAAAACAGGAAACAACTCCACCAAATTACTCTTCAACTTTTCTAAGTAAAATGAACCCCACAGCAGACTACCAGACCAAAAAGCCCCCAAACATACGAATTACAATAAAATCAACACCCTTGACTCCTAGATGCACACAATCAATCAGTTTACTACAGTGATAGAGGCTGGTAAGTAATCACCTCCTTTTGTGCTGTGCTCATGGAAGTAGTCCAGGTGTAAGTAACTCAAGAGTTGCGAGGAAACAGCAACAAGCACTAGGTCAGTAGGTGTGTGTGTGTGTGTGTGAAGTCCTGTTCTCCTTGCTTACCTGCTCCATTAAGAGCCTCAACTTGCCAGGCAGTGGTAGCACACACCTGTTTTTAATCCCAGACCTCAGCCTGGCCTATAGAGTGAATTCTAGGACAGCCAGGGTTACAGAGAAACCCTGTCCTGAAAACTAAAAGGATCAAATAAATAAATAAAATGAAAGGAAAGATATCGCACACTGTGTGCATGCCCTGTATGTAGTGTAAGTGGGGTAGTGTTCTTAGAACCTAAGCAACTGGGAGGAAGATTTCCAAGTTCCAAGCTAGCCTGAGCTACACAGTAAGACCACTTAAAGAATAAAATGGAAAAGTGTGCTTTTTAAATCTTATATGCACTGAGGTTAATTTGTTATGTTTATTAGTCACTACCTACACCAAAAACCTTTCCCACTTAAAAACTTTTATTAAGATATAGCATATACACAAAAGCACACAAACATACAATTCAAAATGAAAATAGCTTGTCCAGCTTGAGAAAGACAGTGGCCATTCCTCTGAAAATCCCTTCGCCCTCCAAGGTCATTCTCAAAGTAGCCACTAACTGTGATCTGTATGTCAACTGTTTCGTGTTTCTTTCATTTACCATGTATTTTAACAGCCTGTTTTGGCCTTTACCAAAGTGAACCATAATAGGTAGATTCTTCTGTGGCTTGCTTTTTGGGGGACATTATTACATCTTGCAACATCCATGGTCATGGTGGAGCCGAAGTTCATGTTCACACCTGTGAATTCCGTGATGGGGATGTGTCACACTAGTTATCCAACACAAATGCTGATGGGATCTTCCCAGGGCTTTGTTGGTCTGGGTTTTCTTTTCTTCATTACACAAGATGACATTAGACATTTATTTGTTCATCCATCTCCTGGCAATATTTAAGAGTTTCTCAGGAATACGCACCTAGGGCTGAGCACACACACTTAGCTGTGCCAAACTGTTTCCAAAGTTGCTCTTTAAAAACCCTGTTGACAGACAACTGATCTGTCTGGGATGACTGAGAAGAAACAGACCAACTATGAAACTCTGAAAATGCATTTTAATAGAAGATCCATAATTCTGACACAATCAAAATGCCATTTACCCTGTTTCAACTAACTTGAAACACTTTTTAAAAGCAACACACTCAACTTCAAAGTACTGTATCCTACATCTCAAAATGTTTCCAAATATAGTACCTGAAAAAGGCAAGTTCAAAACATATATGATGGACACCATCATATATAAAAAGACATCTATATTATATATTCCCCACCCCCTATTTTGCGTGCCCCCACCAAGTGCTTGGATGAGGCAACATCAAAAACTTTTAGAGGAGCAGACGGTAAGAGTAAAGGATGACAGAGACTGAACACTTCAGCTGTTGCTTTTAAACCAAGAACAAGCATTACAATTGCAGTTATCAAACAAGTTAAAATGCAGTCATCCTGGGTCCTTTCACAAGCAAATAAAAACCAGTCAAAAACGCAAAATCTTGAAAACCAACCCTGAATGAAGTGTCGCTCCAGACTGTTTAATGCACATACAAGGCAATGGTTAGGCACACACACATCACTCATCTACATTGCAGCTACGCATCTTTAGAAACAGAACAGATGTGAACTTATAAAACTCCCACTGCAAAATTTTCAGTTTGTACATCCCTAAAATCTTTAATTAGATGGCTCAGCTTAAAGGTTCTATGAGCCACGTTCTTACACCCTGGAATGATCTTTGGCCCTCCTATAACAGTAACTGTATTCAAAGTGAGAATGTTCTAGAGGAAAACATCTCAGCAGAACACATGAACAACAGCTCATGCTTACAAAGGTACAAAAGTGGTAGCTGGGACCTACTGCAGAGGTCATCTGTCTTGTCTGTCTACACTCTACAGGAGCTGTTCGTCTTCCACCCTCTTGAGAGATACAACGCAAAGGACTATCAGTCTGAGACCTACAGAGAAAACGCTCATCAGATGTTATGAGTTACTTAGGGATCCTGCTCTTTCAGAGACACAGGTTAACAGCATAACTGAGACTTGCTTAAGAATACAGAAAGAGTAGACATGCAGTCACAGGCACGCATACACACTTCTGCTCTGTACTCCCCCAGACACAGGCACACATGGGACTAGCTATAGCTGAGTCTAACAAGAGCTAAATTAACAGAGATTGGTTACACTGTTACACTTTCATGAGATAAAAAATCCCAAAATAAAAAGCACTTTAAAAAAAAGATTAACTGCTTGCTCTGATTTCAAAATTACAGAGTAATCTGATTTAAGCTGGCTCTCCAAAAAGACGGGACACATTCACTATATTCTCACACACATAAACACCAAATGACAGCAACAGCTATTTGGTCTACAAAACAGAAATGTTTCTTATAGTAAGTTAATACCTAGCCTCTATACCAGAAACCCTAAGAGAGCGTTCTCAAATCTTGTATCTGTATCAATGGAACTCTGTCCATAGAGGACGTCTTTTTACAGACGCCCATTTGCTGTACTGCATTTAAATTCACTGTTGAGTCTAGATGAGGCAGAAGAAAGCAATCTGGCATTTTAATACTTGAGCAGATACATTATGTTCTTAATACAGCAATGTCATCAAACTATAAGCTACACAAAGCAGAGCTCAGAGCTGGGTGTTTCTGCGTACCTTCACATCCACCTGCCTCATCTCGTACAACTGCAGAGGCAGCCCCCCCACCCTCTGCTGCATTTTAGATCAGCTGGGGAAGCCGGGGGAAGGGGACCTTTTATCCCCATTAACATTTCTCATATAGTGTCTCTAAAAGTGGTTGCTTCATGATTCGTCAAAGTTCGGTAGAGAGTATTTTAGCTAATAAATTCTGTAACGACCCATAATGCACACTAGAAAGAACACAGTGGCACAACAGTGAGAAATGCCCTAACACTGATCAACATGAAGTTATTTACTCAGTTTCTTTACCTATCAACTGATGCTAGTGTCATAAGGAACTGCTCTGATATATATGTACATATAAACAAATGTACTTGAGGATAACACTTTATAGTCGATGGAGCTAGGTAGAAACATGCTGCTACTTCCATGTGAAATATCACCTGCTTTGTTCTTCAAATATCCTTGTTATATACACTACATACTCCATACAGAGAAATATATACATTTAGAAATGGATTAAGACTGGGTTAAAAGAAAATTCTGGTCTAGCATTTAAAGGAAAATAACGAGCTGAAAGTTTCTGAATGTTTGCCTAGAACATTTCCTAGGTCGACAGAGGAAGACAGTTTGTAAGGTTATTCAGAACCTTTTACTACTAAAGAAACCTCTCATGGGTGTAAAAATATATTCTAGTTCACTGTACACTTTTGCTATTAAAAGCAAATCCAAATTTCTTTATTACCACCCCAAATTGAAGCACCATTAAAACATCAAATGGAAGTTCTATAAAAATTACCCTTCAACAGGACAAGTTAGAAAAACATTCACTAACACTTGTATCAACAGTGTGCCTCATATTTAAAAACAAGGGACTAGATTGGAGTCAATAGCTTTATTAGAAAAAGAGCAACACTAAAGCCTTTCAATGACAGACAATCAACTCTGTAACAGAAAGTCAGAGATACTTTATTTTCACGTCTAAATCCAAAGGCTAAGTATAGCAGAAGTGTAAAAATGGAGTCCCACTCAATCTGCTTCACATGAACACTAACGTTTAATCCTGTTTTCAAAGTCCGAGACTGAAAACTTGCAATTAAACACTGAGCAAGCCACATGTTTAGGGAATATTTCTTAAAAAGTCTTAAAGAAAAAAATATGATACAGGACCTAAGTTTTCAAAGTGGCATATGTGCTAATAACACATGTTCTGAAATCTGGTAGGTCACGACAGTCCTGAATTAATTTTTAATAATAATAATAAAAACAAATAACTAACTGACTTTATACTTTCTATGCCACTATAGCTTTCTTTCACCTCATTTTAATGTT